CCCCCCACCCCCACCCCCGGCCAAGCCCTTGCCCCGTGCCCGATGCCAGCACACACGAGCCCCCAGCTTCCGCAGAGACGTTTATTGACGCCCAGTTGCCATGCTGCGGCCACTGACACAATCAGAAAAGGCGTAAACATGCACGAACGTCCCCTGGAAGGTGGGTCCCCACTGGGGAGGGCACAGGCCCTGCCCTCACATCCCAGCCCCATCCAGGGGACAGTTATTTAAATGAGTGGCCAGGAGCACTGCCACCTCTCTGAGAGGCAGAGACCCTGCGGTGGCCCCCCACTTAAAAGGGCAGCTGTACAGGGCTAGGTTGGTTGGTTGGTTGGTTGGTTGGTTTTTAACGAAGATTCTGTATTAAAGGAGTGGCTCTTTTTTGTTTTTCGTCCTCTTTTTTGGAAACATTCTCCTCCTCCAAACCCCCCCCTAATCCGACCTCCTCCCTGCGGGCCGAGGGGGACGGGGCAGCCTGGAGAGGCAGGAGAGAGGAGTGCAGCCCCCTGCAGGTGTGCACAGGATGGGTGTTTGCATATTTGCGTAGTAGCGAGTCAGGCAGGAGGAAGTTTGCATATGTGAATATAGATCTCCACGGTCCCTCACGAGAAGACAGACCCACGGTCACGCAGACTCTCACAAGATAAGACAGGTAGTGGGGGGCGGGGCTTCCACCCCGTGTAAACGTGCAACACACTCGTGCGAAGGTTGGGTACTGGACCTGGCCCCGGGGGAGGGGGGGGGCCCTGTGCTGGGCAGGTGTGGTCCCGCTCAGGCCGAGGGCAGAGCCCCGGCCGCAGGGGGCAGCTCGCTGGTGAGGGTGTGCCAGCGTTCCAGGGCTGCGTCCGGCTGCTGCAGACAGTCACGCCAGTGCTTCCGGGCCTCTCCCCGAGCCCCAGGCCCCAGGGACACGCCACCTGGGAAGCAGGGAGAGGCAGGCAAAAGCAGGGCCCATCTCACTGCGGGTCTGCGCCCCCCCCCCCATCAGCGCCACCCAGCAGGCTTCCCTCCTCACCGATGAAGTCGTTGGATTTGCCGATGTCATAGTCCCAGACTGTGACTTCCAGAGTCTTGGTGGCCAGAGCAGAGAGCTCCATCTCGTAGAAGAAGTCCTGGGGCAGAGCAGGCCACATCTTCCCTGAGGCCCTGGCCCATGTCCTGAGCCCCAGCCCCCCTTGATTTCTGAGCCCTGCCCCACTTACCTCGTTAAATTCTGGATTGAGAGTCTTCTTCTTCACACACGTTTTATGCTTGGATTTTTTATCCACGTCAGGCCTCAGGTACCTGCCGAGGAGGAGGTGGCGGAGGAGTGCGGAGGTCAGGGGCAGGTGAGGCCCCGGGGGAGGATGGGGGAGAGGTCAGGCTCCCTGGGGAGGGAGGGGTGGGCTCACGTCTTGACGTAGGGGTCGGAGTAGCCATTGACGTCCATGGCGGCCAAGTGGGCGCAGCGCACGATGCCCACCAGCAGCCCCTGGCGCCGAGAGCTGTAGCTGAGACTCAGCAGGATGCGCCCACGCTCTTCCAGCAGCCCGGGGCCCTGCTCTGCCTGTTCCAGCTGTGGGGCAGACGCAGGGGTCAGCCTGCATCCTCACCACCCCCCACCCAGGTGTGGTCCCTGTGAGGTGCCTCACCTCCTTCAGGTAACAGGAGATGCCCCTCAGCGCTGCTGACATGGAGGAGGGTGAAGCCAGCTGAGGGGGCAGAGAGAAGGTTCTGGAAACTGGCCTCCCCAGGGCCCGCTCCCCCCACCCGGCACCCCACAGCCCCACACAGACCGGGACCTGGCGCTCAAGGCAGATGTTAAAATGTTTCTTCTGTGAAGGCTTGAGGCGGCGGAGGGGTACTCTGATCTCCCCAATGAATTCATTGTGGCTCAGCTTGTCCTCGTCACAGACGGAGATCCTGGCAGGGAACTGCAGGGTCAGGGCCCCCTGGCGTACCTGAACCTGCTCCAGTGTGGGGAGAAGGGTCCTCCGACCAAACTCTGAGCACCTGAAGCCAGTGCTAGCTGTACCCTAAATACTCTGCGCCTCGCCTGTCTCACGGGCCGTGTGGTGAGCACCAGGCCCGGAGCTTGAGAAGGGTGCTTTGATTTGCCCTGTTCCTCCACCCCTCCCTTTCCAGCTGCCCAGGCCATCCCCGGTCCATCAGGACTTGCGCCGCCACTGTAGGAAGCCCTCCCAGATCTTGAGGCCCACTACCCTCCACTGCCTCCACTCAAGAGCCTGGGGACAGGATCCAACTGAATGTGCCCAGGGCATGCACTGGTGGATGTGGGTCACAGACTCAGTATGTGAGGGCTAGAAGGGCCTTGAGCAGCCCTGCGCAGCGGGACAAGGATCCCACACCTCCTCTGACGCTCCTGTCCTTTTCTGCATGGAGCCGGGGAACCAGCCTGGGAGGGATACGGGAGCCCAGCCATGAAGCAATGGTTGCTTTTAGTTCCATGCGTCCCCTCCTGCAGCCCCCTGCACTTTCTTTTGTCCTGATGCTCTTGAGGAGCTATGTCATGTAGGGATATTTATACCCCAGCTCTGCCACTTGCTGGCCACCTATGTGACCTTGGACAAGTCACTTAAGCTCCCTCTACCTCAATCCCACCTCTAAATGGAGATAATGAGTACCTATCTCCCAGAACTACTGGGATCAAGGGAAATAAATGTAAAGACGCATAGCCCAGGGCTGGGAGCACTAGTGAGCACTCAGTTATTGGGCCTAATTCTCTCCCATCTGAAAGATGGGCCAGCCTTCCTGGAGTCAGGTCTGTCCTTCCCTCCAGTCTGCCTCACAGCCAACATCAGGGCGATCTCCAAAACACAACCCTGACTGTGCGCCTGCCCCAGTACAAACCTTCCCCTGGTTTCCCAATTTGCCAAGAGCGCCGATAAAGGTCTCCCAAGCCTGGGTTTTGCTGCCCTTCACTCAGGTCGGGGACTACACCCCTTACAGCTCCCTCTCCTGGGGTGATGGAGCAGGTTTCCTGTCCTGATGGATATTAGGGAGACACAGGCAACAGCATGGTTGCTACACAGGTCTGACTTGTCAGGGGCTCTGAGGAGGGGTCTCGGTGACCAGAGAAAGCTTCCAGGAAGAGGCACAGCCTAAATTTTGAGTGGGATTTAGTCTGGCCAAGAGAGAGGAAGCAGGGAGCACTTTCCATGGAAGAGACACAACAGGCAAAGGTCAGGAGCATAGAACCACTCCGAAGACAGCAGTCCTCTGTTGGAGCAGCAGTAGGAGGAGATATTTGGGGAACAGGAATGCCAGGGAAACCTCTGGCCTACTGCCGAAGGGGATGGGGAGCCCATGATTGTTCTTGAGCATCTGAGAGGCACTTAATGGGAGGCAGATCAACCAAAGAAGGTGCCAATGACAGCTGTCCCAGAGGACAGCTGAGATGGAATTCTTGGTAACAGGGAGAAAGGAGCGCTCTCACCTGAGCACCTTGTGGGTGATGTCATCATCCGTGATCCCACTGTACGTCAGATCTTCATTCCACACGGGATTCAGCGTGTTCCTCTGAGTCTTAGTTTTTAGCTTATTGGCCTGAGGTGTGGGGGCAAACGTTCTCAGGACATGTCCCCCTGACCCGTGGAGGCTGAAGGTAGGGGAAGGTTGGGGGCAGACCCACAGGCCGGGTCAGGCTAGGGGAGGAAGGAGGACGTTACCTTGCAGGCTCCAGGCAGCAGGTGCAGCTTGACGTAGGGGTCAGCCAGGCCATTGAAATCCATGGGCTTGAGGCCCTGCAGGGGAGCGGAGGGAAGAGGGCCGTAGGCTCCCAGCCGTCCCTCTCTCCCTCCCTCCCTCCCTCTGCAGAGTGGTTGTGGAGAGTCAAGAAGAAGGGTGCTGGGGGATAGGGGGAGGGGGAAGGAGAAGGGGTCCAGCCCAGGGAAGGAAAGGTGGAAAGTCACCCCTCCCAGGGTGCGAGGAAAACAGGGCCAGGGCTTGGGGGGCGGGGAGAACCCACCTTGGCCCTGAGGATACTACAGTGCAGAGTGCAGGAGGCCTGGTCGTAGAGAAGGTCAAACTCCAGCATGCCCAGGGCCGCTGCAGAAGAGGGAAGAGTCAGTGTGTGAAGACAGGTGTGTGAGACCGGTGGGCAGACGGGCTGTTGTGCTGGCGCTGAAGGTGTGTGCCCGGCTGTGTCTGTCAGCCTGCGAGTGTGTGCGCGCATCTGGGTCCCTGGCTGGGCCGTGACTGGGGCTGTGTGGGTGGTTGAGTGTCTCAGCAGAAATATTGAATATTCAGCCTTGCTGAAACTGTAGCCTCCACACTGACTGCAGCCGTGGTGGGCCCGCCTCCCCCAACGCACCCAGCAGGGCCCCAGCCCCTTTCCACAGCCCTGAGGCGGTCCCCCCCCCAACCCCCCGTTAGCCCCAGGGCCCTTCAAGCCCCCAGACTCACTGGTATCATCCGAGTCGTAGCTGTCCACCTCGGCTCCCTCCTCGGGCGTGGTGGCCCCAAGGAGGGCTGCAGGGGGGGCCAGGGCCAGGGGGGCCAGACGAGCAGGGGCCTCCCTGAAATCCCTGCCCCCGCCTTCGGGTCCTGGTCCCCGGCGGGGGAAGTAGTCAGAGATCTGCCGGATGGGCCGGATGGGCCCGGGGCACACGTTGATGGCCATGTGCTCCTGGATGTTGATGGTCATGCGGTCGCCCCTGCGGCCCCTCATGCAGCACCCTTGGCTGCGGGAGGGAGGTCCAGGAGAGCATGAGCCCAAGACGGACTCCTCATACCTGCTGTCTGCTGGCTGAGGGCCAGGCGGCAACCTCCCCAGTTGGTGGGGCCCTCACCGGCCTCCCTTCCCAGGTGTCCAGGGAGAGGGTGGCCTGTGCCAGCTGGTGGCCAGGCAGGAGGCCTGGACCCTCCAGACCCCAAGCTTTGCTCCTCAGGGGCTGGCCTGCCAGCCCTCCCCCCCACCCCATAA